CTTTCCCTTTATTTCAGTGGGTGATGCTTAGCAGTGGGGCACAGACTGGGGTATTTTAGGTGGAGCAGTGGTAACTAGAGCCCTCCCTGTTCCTGTCTTACAGCATTCCATCATCCCAAGAGGATCTCTTTCTCTCAAAGTGTTAGCAGAATTGCCCATCATTGTTGTTTTAATGTACCAGGTATGCATATTCTTCACTAGATTCTTGGGTTTTTGGCTTCTTATTTCATGACAAAGTTCACATCTTATTTTCTATGCAAATATAGGTGTGTATGATACACACATGCTGACTAATGTAATGACTTCTATTGTTTCTTCTGTGTGCCAAAATATTTTGCTATAGCAGAGTGTAAGAGCATGAACATCTGATATGTTTGCTTTTAGCTCTACAAACTGAATATCCACAATGTTGTTGCTGAATTTGTGCCCTTGATCATGAATACCATTGCAATTCAGGTGTCTGCGCAAGCCAGGTGAGACTTCTTCAGACAGCCACATAGCTGACTGCCACAGTGCCTGAATACCAAGTAAAAATACACTTGCTGTTGTCATTTGTAAGATGAAAATTTTGAGGGATAAAATCAAATCATACACATTTTTGTCTTGAACTTGTATTTCAATGGTGATAGTAATAGTTATTTTAGTTTCCTAATTTAGAAAGATGAACTAATACCTCAGTTTTTGGTGTCTTGTAAACTTAGAGCAAATGTTAGGCTTAACTACTCAACAGCTGTGGGAGAGCCAAGCCTTTCTCACCTTCCAGCCTTTGCTCTTGCCAGTCTTTCAGCACGAATGCTAGAATGTTCTTTATTCCCTTCATTCCCCAACCCCATCAACCTTCATCAGTAAATAGGCACACAACATTCATCCTTTGGTGCCTCTCCGTAAAGCTTTTCTCAAGCTTCAGAGCATCTTCTCTTAGCAGTTTCTCTCTTGACTTGCAGCCTGTGGGCCTCTGAGTCATGTGAGGGCAGGATCTGAGGGTGAATCGGCTCTAACAACCCCTGTAGCCCTAGCACAGGATTATTTATTGAGCAGATAGGTCCTCTGATGCTGTCTGCTGGGTGAGGGGCTCAGCCGGGCTTTGCGGATGTGCACGTTGTAGCCACTGTGGAATGGCCTGGAGAAGTGCTTGCTTTATGCCTTTAAACCTTGTGTGTTCTCGGAACTGCGTGAAAGTGTAGAGTGCTCATTGTTGCTGCTGTGTTCTGGTCTGTGTAGAAATCAAATTTTGGGACTTAGTAATCATTATAGGCTTTATTTAATATTGTCACTTAAAGAGTTAAGAGCTAATATTGTAAATTTTATTCATTTACTCAGGCAACACAAGCTTTACAACAAGGAGTTGTATGCTGATTTCATTGCTGCTCAGATTAAAACATTGTCATTTTTAGCTTATATCATCAGAATTTACCAGGTAAGTTCACAGACTTTTAAGGCAGCTTTACTGAGATGTAATACATGCAATAAAATTCACCTTTTGTAGGTATACAGTTGTACGAATTGACAGATGCACATACTCGGTGCCCACCAATAAGCACATTGAAATAAACATTTCCGTCACCTCCAAACTTCATTCCTAGACTGTTTCCTTCCCCCATCTCCAGGCTGCAGCAAACAGTGATATTTTTTTTCTGTGCCTGTAGTTTTGCCTTTCGCAGAATGTCATGTAAATCAGTTATATAATTGATGTTGTATGTAACCTTCACAGAGTGGTCTCTTCACTTAGCAGTAATGCTGAGTGTCATCCTTGGTATTTTATTTTTATTGGTAGTTGGTTGTCTGAAGTCAGCTCAGACTGCCATAACAAGTACCGTAGACCAGGTGGCTTACACAACAATTTAGTTTTGCACAGTTCTGGAGCCTGGAGAGGCCAAGATTGAAGTTTTAGCAGAGTTCAGTTTCTGGGGAGGACTCTGGTTCTGCAGAGAGCTGCCGCGTTACTGTGTCCTCCGACAGTGGAGGGGAGGTAAGAGAGGCGCTCTTCCGCTTCTTGTAAGGCCACAGTTCTGTCGCATTGACGTTTTTACCCTTAATTACCTTCCAAAGATTATCTCCAGATAACGTCACGAGGCGGGTGAGGGGTATAACATGAATTTGGGGGTGGGGAGACGATTCAGTCCACGGCAGTAGTGGATGTACCGTGGTGTGTGTAGCCATTCACCAGTCGGTGAACATTTGAGTTGTTTCCAATTTTTTGTAAAGCACCTTTTCAAGATATAATTCCCTTATCAAAATTCACTGTTTTAAAGTATACATACAGTTTATTGGTTTTTAGTTTGTTCATGGATTTGTACAACCATCAGCACTACATTTTTCAGAACCATTTCTTCACCCCAAGAGGAAACCTGTTTAGCAGTCACTTCCATTTTTCTGGATCCAGCCCCTGGTAACCACTGATGTGCTTTCTGTCTTCATAGATTTGCCTGGTTCAGTTTGGGCCTCATTATGAATAAAGTGTCTATAAATATCTGCACACAGATTTTCACATGGATGTATTTGGTTCACAGATTTTTACTCTTCTGGAAATTGTGTGTTAATAGCAAATAATGTAGGAGAGATTGGAACTTCAAAACAGCATTATTGAAACCAAAAGAGGAGCTCTGGGTGCTTTTCTGAGGAGCTTGTAGAGGGGTTTTGTTCTTGTTTCTGTTTTTCCTATTTATATTTATAGGCTCCTCATTTAGATCATAAAAACTTGAAGGAAAAAAAAATGACACTTTATCTCCCATTAGTCATATAATGTTTCTGAATGACATTCTTGTGTAGTTGTGATTATTTTGAAGTATAGAATAAATTTAGTACTGATTAATTCCCATTAGTCATGCAATGTTTCTGAATGACATTCTTGTGTAGTTGTGATTATTTTAAAGTATAGAATTAATTGAGTACTGATTAATTCTATAGCAATGGAATTGTGTTATAATTTATCATCTTTTAAAGGAATTTACTTCAGGAAAATAAAAATGAAAAGATTGTATTTTTTAAATAAAATAAAATAAAACTACCTTTGAAAGCATTTGTAGCCATGTTTTTCCTTTTTTAATATGTTTATCTAGAAAATGGTAGCTTACACCAAGAACATGGAACATTTGATTTAAAAAATCTGAATTAAGGTACCCTTTGGTATTTCAGTCAGCTTGAGTTATCTTGGTGAATTGCCTTCCTAAAATACCTCAGAAGGAGATTGTGATCAGACTTGTTAAGAGTTAATTGAAGGCGTCTCTCTGATGTCATTCACAGCTTATATTAATGTGTGACAAAGAGTATTTTTTTAATTTCAGTATTTGCTTCACCCTCCTTCTCCCAATAATAAAGTAATAACAAACTTCAATTGTTGAAAGTTGGGAAAATATAGAGAAATACCAAGATATCCATTATCCCATTATGTAAAGAAACTGCAGTCTATGTTTCTATATATCCTTCCTCAAGTGCATGTACATGCACATGCCCACATACACACAGTTAAAAGTTTCTGGATAATAGTTTATTAAGCCTGTTACTTTGTGAGGGTCCTTTGAACCAAACTGAGTCTTACCCAATGTTTTTAAAGTTTATAAAATTAACACCCCCACCTGTCAATGTAACTGTTGTTTTGCTCTTTATTTTTATAGGAGTTGGTGACTAAGTATTCTCAGCAGATGGTTAAAGGAATGTTACAGTTACTTTCAAATTGTCCGGCAGAGACTGCACACCTCAGAAAGGAGCTCCTGATCGCTGCCAAGCACATCCTCACGACAGAGCTGCGGAATCGTATGTCCGCCTTGTCCTGGGGTTGCTTGCGTGGTGCCGCTGTCATCTTAGGAGGGCACTGTGGACATCCCATGTGGTGCTGGTCCAGTTGGCTCCTGGCCCCCACATGCCCTTTCTTCCCTGCTGTCTCGGGTTTTTTCTTTCTCTGCCTCTCTACCTCCCCCTCTGGCTGCCTCTCCTCACCTGCCTCCAGGGCTCTCCTTTCGCCTTCTCAACAGTCTCCTAAGTCATTGATAATATCCTCAGCATGGCTTTCTCCTGAGTATTTCATAGTACTTCTCCACCTTTTGATTGCATATCTTTTGAAATTGCAAATAGCCATTTGCTAACTCAGTCACAGCCGGCAATTTTTAGAAGGTGAGAAGAAAACTGTTTTCTTTCTCCAAGCTGTGGAAATGATGGATTGGTTCTGTTTTCATGTAGAAAACTGAGCTTTTTGCTAACCTGATAATTATACTTTTTCTATCAATTATTGATTTATAATTTAATACTTTTCCTATTTGGTATGTCTAAGCCATGAGGTTGAAGTTTTGTCCTGATTGTTTTGAATTGATAACCATTTACCCCAGTAATTTTTCAAATATTCAGTGTTTTATTTGTCCCCAGCTTATAAATCAGAGCATAGATAAAACTGAGATTGGGCTTCCTTTTATAGTTTTTAAACATGAAAGAAAGGGTCCAGTCCGAGTGCTCATACATGAATTAATAGAGTAAAGCTCAGGTGGTTTTTGTGCTCTTTACAGATTATAGTATGACCATTACATATGGATATACCTGAACGGCACATAGACATTTTTGAATCCCTTTTTTTTTTAAATGTAGCACATATAACAAAATGTACAAAAGATATGTATGTCACCAAAAATCACGAAACAAACCTGAGTGTGACCATCACACAGTCTCTCAGGGTGAGAAATTGAGTTTGTCATCACTCAGAGGCCCCTCACCTCCAGAGCTGATGGCCACTGCGATACCAAAATAGCAGACCTTTAAATGGATGTTTTAGAGTCTTTACTGAGGCACTGAGTTGTGCTCAATTACCACGCTGAGATTAACGGAGTGTTCCTGCCATTTGGGTAATAACGGATTTGAGGAGTGTTTGGGAAGCTGTGTAGTAGGTGTCTACTTGTTGAAGTGCTGACAGGTTAAAAACCTCCCCCATGCTTACCGGATAACCTCTGTCCCATGTCCACCACAGGCCCTGTTATGAGGGCTTGATTTTTGACAGGCCTGCCCTGCGAGGATGGATGGGTTTCCAAGATGCTGCTCTCCAGGAACACTGCAGACTTGAATTCACCTTTTACAGGATCCCCTGTCCCCCACTTTCTTTTAAGTCTTATTACTGATTGGCTTGATTTTTTTTTTTTTTAAATAAGCTAGGATGCTTTAATTGAAGCCCATACTAGTTTCTGGAGTTAAATAGGTAACCACAACACATCTCAAAAAAAATTTTTATTGAAAGAAACATTTAAAGAATCATGTTTAATGTTTAAAAAAAATCTTGTTAAATGTTAATCATGTTATTATAAAATACAAACTGTATCCACGTAGGTAAAATCTACCCATCCACTAACTTTCACATAGCCTTGCTTTTTTTGGCATCTGACAAAATACCAAGTGGTAATCGATTTGTTTTAATTCTGTAGAGCAATCATCTGAGAAAACCTGACCATTTGACAGGGTTACCCATCCTGGAGGTTCTGGTTCTTGGCCAGGGGGGATCTGGAAACCAGCGCCATACAGCTCGACTTCTGTTGTTCCTCTCGTGTGTTTAGCTTGTCCCCCAGCCAGTCCTCCAGCGTTTGGTGACTGAGCCTTTGCATCTTTCCTTCAGTGCCTCTGCTTCTTGGCCACCTCCCTGGGGACAGTCCAGGCAGCTTCCCGAACCCCAGGGGCTGCTCGTTGCTTCCCTCACCTGGCACCTCACCACACTGTGTCCCTCAGTGGCCACGTTTCTCATATGCTTTGACCCTTTGTAGCTGTTTGCTGCTGAAGAATGTACTTTATCTGAACTACTGAAGCTGGTGTGAAGTCAGGCTTGTTCCAGCATCTAAATGTCCTTTGAAGGGTTGTGGCCAGTTTCCCATGGGTCATGCGGAGTAGAGAGGCCTGGAAAATGTCGATTGCCCACCCTCGGAAGCGTGAATTGCCCCTGAGCAGAGACCAGCTTATTTCTGCCCCAGCTGGGTCTTCAGGCCCACAGGGCTGCTGGTCTCCTCTCTACTCCTTCCCAAGCCTGGATTGCTTACTGATTGCAGACTGCCATCAGCGACAGAGCTCTTAAGTAACCTAATGTATAATTGGTGTAGTTGGTGATATATACAATGGGTATTTGTTTTCTAGAGTTCATTCCTTGCATGGACAAGCTGTTTGATGAATCCATACTAATTGGTTCAGGATATACTGCTCGAGAGACTCTCAGGTATGAGATCCAGCCCATGGTACTGGTTGACTAAATGCTAGGGGAGGCCAGTCCTGGCACTCCATGTTAGGAGCGTTCTGACAAACAGGCTCTTTGGGCCTTCACTCTCCCATTGGATTTAGAACGGCAGGGATTTACAGAAATGCCTTAGGTTGTTTTTTGTGCCTTAGCTCAAGGGGAAAAATCAGAGTAGTTGTATTGATTTAAATTGTAGGTTATTCTTTATCTGACTAGCATTAGTTTTTTTTTTTTTTTTGCTTTCTATAAAATAAATGCTTCTTTTTTCTATTAAAGAATATATGTTAACTAACCTACCAAGAAAAAAGAATGAAAGAAAGCCTTTTGGTTCTGCACAAGGAGCTCAAGTAACACAGATAATATTTTGGTGTATTTTCTTCTAGTCTATCTCTTACATGTTTTATAAAATAAATGTAACAATGATCCTGTTTGTTGTTTCTGAGGGAGAAAATTAACATGTTTACCTTCTACCATGTACAGTGAATCGACATTAGTAATGCTCTGACTGTAATGAGGGAGGTGTGAGGGAGACATGAATATGGTGTGGACTATTCCTTGTGTTTCCTGTATTTCTATATAGTTACAAAATATTAAGTAAGACATTGTTTATATAACTTGGGGCTGAATCTGGCTGGAGTTAGACTTAGATTGTGCCACTCCTGCTGCAGATCTGCCCAGTGGCTTTCTGCTGCCCTCAGACAAAGAAAAAACCCAAATTCAAGACTCCAGAGGGATTTGGCTCCCCTTCCAGATGCGCCGTGGCCACACTGGTTTCCGTGGCCCCTTGGCTACTCCAGGCATTTCTCATGCAAGGCCTTTGTCTTTCCTATCTCCTCCCTCTGGAAATTTCCCTGGCTTTTTGCCACATGGCCCTTTTTTAGTCTTAAGGTTTTGGGGCTTTGCCTGGCCGCCTGCCTGACAGTGGTTCCCTGCAGGTCGTCCTCCCAGAGCCCTTTTCATATCCCCCCGGCACTTAGCAGCTTGCACAGTTTAATTCTTTACTTGTGCGTCTCCCCTCCTGGGGTTGGGGCTGGTTCACTAGCTGTGGTGTCCTGGTGCCTAGCCTGGTGTCTGGCCCATGGCAGCTGTCCAGACATTTAGTGAGTGAGAGCACTTAGTAGCCCATATAGTATCTCGATAAAATGATTGTGATATATAAGGTATTAACTGACACACACTGTTTATTTTAGAGCATGAAAACTCATTCAGTATATGATGAAGTTGGTAATTATTTCTGCTCATGTTAACTGTGTGTAGCAGTGTAACTATGACATGCATGTACTTGGAAAGTGAAGATTTAAGCCCCAAGACAAGACTTGAGCCTTTGAGTCTTGTAACAGGGAAACTGGAACCATGGGAAGCATGCCTTTCCGTGGTGGTGTTCCTGGGCAGGTAGAGGAGCAGACAGTGGCCTGTGGTGTGGCCCTGTGGGAGTGTTGATATGTACTAACAGAGGTCTCTGCCTGCAGGCCCCTTGCCTACAGCACGCTGGCTGACCTCGTGCACCACGTCCGTCAGCACCTGCCCCTCAGTGACCTCTCCCTCGCTGTCCAGCTCTTTGCCAAGAACATCGACGATGAGTCCCTGCCCAGCAGCATCCAGACCATGTCCTGCAAGCTCCTGCTGAACCTGGTAGATTGCATCCGCTCCAAGAGCGAGCAGGAGAGTGGCAACGGGAGGGACGTTCTGATGCGGATGCTGGAGGTACCCACTCCTGTGAGGTGTTGGCATCCTGCACAAGTGTGGTCCTGGCAGGTTTATGGAACTGCCTTACTGCTAAGCTGGATCCCAGATGTTAAGAGTACTTGGGTTCAAATCTTTACTTCCCCATTAAGTAGCCCAGTGTCCCTGGGCAAGTTGCTTAACTTCATCTGACCAGGGATAATCAGTGTCTGCCTCATAGGATTGTTGTTTAAGGGATAAATAAAAGGGCACGTGAAAGCTCCTTAGCACAGTTCCTGGCATGTAGTTAGAAGAGGTATTTTCTGGGCCCCATGTAGCAAGGTGCTCCATTCACTGTGACTGCCTCGGAGAGGTGCCTGGCTGGTGCATGGGGAAGGGGTAAAGTGTGACTCCCAGGGCAAGTGGGCAACAGTGTGGCTTGTGGACTGGTCCTGGGTCGTGTGCAGGTCCTGCTTGTCACACAGCCTTCCTGAGCAGATTCTTCACAGGGACAGTGGGGATAGTGACACTTGTGTAGACACCATAGGGGAAAAACATTGCATTTCTTTTCCTTTATCTAAAAACTTCGGCAGGTTTTAGAGAGATTTTCTTTCTCTCTTTCTGAAAGGGTTGTTGGTCATTGAAGAGTAATGATTTTCGTTTCCCCCTCCACTTTCTCTTCCTGTTAGGTTTTTGTTCTCAAGTTCCACACCATCGCCCGGTACCAGCTCTCTGCCATCTTTAAGAAGTGCAAGCCACAGTCAGAACTCAGCGCTGTGGAAGCAGCCCTGCCCGGGGTGCCCTCTGCGCCTGCGGCTCCAGGCCCTGCTCCATCCCCCGCACCTGCGCCCACCCCTGCCCCAGCCCCACCGCCTCCCCCCACCCCTGCCACCCCTGTGACCCCAGCCCCTGTGCCTCCCTTTGAGAAACAAGGAGAAAAGGATAAGGAGGACAAGCAGACATTCCAAGTCACAGACTGTCGAAGTTTGGTGAAAACCCTGGTCTGTGGTGTGAAAACAATCACCTGGGGTATAACGTCATGTAAAGCACCTGGTGGTAATTCTGCTCTTGAATTAGTTAGATAAATAATGTTTTTCATAGTGGGTGCTATTCACAGTAACTTATTATGCTGTCTCCTTTTCCAGAAGCTCAGTTCATTCCCAACAAGCAGTTACAGCCCAAAGAGACTCAGATTTACATAAAGCTTGTGAAATATGCAATGCAGGCTTTAGATATTTATCAGGTAAGGAAGTGCTCTCAAACCAGGCTCCTGAGTGTGGAAAACGCCTCTTAGAATTAGAGATGCTAGTGATGGAACAGGTCCTTAGAGGTCTTCTGTCATGTGGTGGGGTGGTCTGTGGTGTCTGTATGCCCAGGTTTGTTGCTGTTCTGTGCATAGCATTAAATTTATGGTGAGAGTTCTTACAAGTGTCAGTGTGTATATTTCATGGAGGAGGTCCTGTAAATGCAATGTAATATAAACAAGATTTAAGTTTACTAAATTTGTTCCTATTTGGAACACCTAACAAGCATTTGTTAAGAAATTATTTTCCAAAGAAAGCTGAGAATAGAGAACTGAATAGAATTGGTAAGAGTGGGAGGGGATTTATTATCTAATTCAGTGCTGTTTTCATTATGCCACTGATGTGATTATGTTATAGAATACATTCAGAGATGCCCAGCTTTAATGCCCGTGGGTTTTTTTCCCTATGCTAGGTTCAGATAGCAGGAAATGGACAAACATACATTCGAGTGGCAAACTGCCAGACTGTCAGAATGAAGGAAGAGAAGGAGGTCTTGGAACACTTTGCTGGCGTGTTCACAATGATGAATCCCTTAACGTTTAAAGAAATCTTTCAAACTACAGTCCCTTATATGGTGGAAAGAATCTCTAAAAATTATGCTCTTCAGGTATGAAACGCCTTATTTATATTCTTTCAGCATTAAAATTCTTTGTGTTGAATAGTTGCTTGGTATTCCATTTATCTTGAGGATTTTCTAGATAATATGCCTAAAGATGTGCTTGAAGAGCAGAACTTAGAGAAATGTTAGGCTATGATACTAAAAGAATTTTTTAAAAAAGCCAAGATGTTTTGGACAGTTCCTCTCATAAGTAGGGATTAAATACATGTCAGATGCAGGCTTTTGGTATTTGATGGTGAGAATAAAACAACAGATGACGTACTTGAACTGCTCCATTCAATGCTTAGTAAGTCTATCTCATTTTTGTCCTTTGGTGGACACTTAATTTCTCAGACTGTCTAATCTGATTCAGTTTTGTAGGTTTGGGAAGTTCCCTTCTTTCTCTTAGAGCTGCTGTGGGGAGGGATTATTTTTGTCCCACATATTTCTTGTTGTGACAGATTGTTGCCAATTCCTTCTTGGCAAATCCTACAACCTCTGCCCTGTTTGCTACGATTCTGGTGGAGTATCTCCTTGAGCGCCTGCCAGAAATGGGCTCCAACGTGGAGCTCTCCAACCTGTACCTCAAGCTGTTCAAGCTGGTCTTTGGCTCAGTCTCCCTCTTTGCAGCCGAAAATGAACAAATGCTGAAGGTAAAGCTCATTTAGATCCAAGTAGAACTTGGTTTACAGGGGGGGCTTGTTGTTGTTTAATTCATCGGGTGACTTAAAATGAGAACTTGAAACTCTTAGCATAGGCACTGGGTTGTCATTAGTCCTACCACCAGTAATTACAAACTCAGCTTCTTTTTCTGGATTATCTACGTAACTAAAATAGGAGCACAGTGTCCCTATTTTAAAAATTGAGTGATACCCAAGTACACAGAAGGGGAAAAAGTCTTCATTTAACTCTCAGGTAAGATGAGAGACAGTTTGCTATTTAACTGCGCTCGTGACACTCACCATCTTCCATTGGGCTTATTCCACTCTGGGCTCAAGTTCTCTGTGGCAGCACCTAAAACCCCCAGGTCAGAACTGCTTGTTTATTTTTCTCTATTTAATCAAGAATTCTAACCAATTTGTATCCCTTTATGAAAATCATCTTGGAGGAATGTGTCTCCTAACACATTTTGTAGATGACTAATCCTATATATTTTGATCCCATCTGTTCTTTGATTCTAGCAAATGGCTAAAAACCTACCTGTGGTTGTATCACCCACTAAAAGCAGCAGATGGCAGAACCTTATAAAAATTCACTTCCCACTAGTTTAATTTTTGTAGGAAGTTGAGCATTGTCACGGGTTGTGTCTAAAGAGAGATGTTTTCCCTTAGGGAGCATTTTGAAGATGTAAACAGGATCTATTTTTTCTGGGGTAAATGTACAGATGGTGATAAAAAGTGCCAGTAATCTCTGCTTTTATGCCACAGTTTTCCTCAGCTTTTTTTGGCTACACAGTAACCAGTTGTCAACAACCTTAACATTACTTTTGTGTTACTACAGAAGGAAAATACTCAAATTTTTTTTAAGATAAAAAGAACTTAGTTGTAATTGGTGACCACAAAATTTGTTATCTTCAAGTAATTACATTTTTTCAAACTAAGTACAAGTGTACAGAACAATAACAAAACAATAAAACCAAATGTAGGATGTTGGAATATTGCTCAAGAAAGATACTCAGCGAACATATTTCATGGAAGGTTTTGTCAAGAGTATAAGATAGGTGATGTATTCTGTGAAATAAATGTAGCATGCCATATACCAAAGCAGCTGGGAGCTGTATCAGTGACTGTACCAGTAGTTGGCTTTAAACACCCCTGCAGGAAAAGTTCACATTAAACTGTTAACCTGATACTAGGATTTAAAGTGCAAAATAAAAGCTAATCTGGTTCAAGATGTTAATTGAAGTACTATAAGCTAATGAAGTGCTTCTTGTTTTAAAAATACTTCTCAGTTCAGTCTTCCAAAACCTTACAATCTCAGACGTCCCCTGAGGCTCTTCCAAATTTGGCATATATCGCATTTGGTAGGGAAGTTTCAGTCCTGTTAGGTTACTTTGCCCTGAGGTGTTAACAGGGAACAAGCTCCCTCAGCCCAATGACTCTGATGCCCAGTCCCAGAGCCATGGTGCCAACAGAGCCCTGGTTCCTGCTGCAAACACCACTAACTGCTGCCCAGCCGACCAGCCTGCTGCAGCTGCTTTCACCGCCAAACTGGTGGAAGCCAGCTTAATTTAAGAGAAATTAATTTGAACCAATAACAAAGGCTGGGAAGCCCATGTTTTTCATGTTGGAATAAATCCATCACGATTCCCTTGTACTCCTGTCTGGCTGTGGTGTTCCTTTTGCAGTCTTTGGGGCTGTGGACCCTCTTACTGTAGGGCCTGTTAACCTGCCTTTGCTCCACCCCACAGCCCCACCTGCACAAGATTGTGAACAGCTCCATGGAGCTTGCCCAGACCGCCAAAGAGCCCTATAACTACTTCCTGCTGCTCCGGGCCCTGTTCCGCTCCATCGGGGGAGGTAGCCATGATCTCCTGTATCAGGAATTTTTGCCTCTCCTACCAAACCTCCTGCAAGGTCAGAGCTGTAATTTTGCTTGCCTTTTAGTCTTGTGTGTGTGCCTGGGCCTGGCTGCCCTGGATTGTTGCATTTCTTCCCCTGCCCCCAGTGAAGGTATGTGTGTGTGTCCCCAAGTACTGCCCTCCTTAAAGGCCATGGGACTTTGAAGGGAGACCTGTCAGGGATGGGCCCTCCCTTCCCCACTCAGAGTCAGGTGGGAGTTGGAAGGATCTTATCACCCTGGGTAGGACCTGGCTGTGTTTAGGAGGTGGTTTCTAGTGGTTTGGTTAGATTAGGGGTTCCTAGATAGAGAAGCAGAACAAGAAGGGAAAAAGTTTTATGTTTTTAGTTAGCTGCTAATTTGTGTATCCAGACTCCTATAATCTCTCTGTAATTAGCAATGTTTCTAAGATGTAGAGCCCGGGGATCTTGAGTCTATTGAATATTTATTGGTGTGAGCTGACTGGAAATCCTATCCTAGGACTTACTTTTTTTTTTGTAAATATGAGCTCTTGGCAAGAGTTTGAATCTTCTGTGTTTTCTTTGCACAGTCTTTAGAGAAGCCACCTCAGTGCAGTATTCCCAGGAGGCCCTGGGATTATTTGAATACATTGACTGTAATGTGGCACGAGTCCACCATGGAAGGCAGCCCATGAGCAGGCTCCGTTTTCTGTATTTAACCCTGCCTGCAGTCATTCCCTGGCCTGAGCTCTCTGCTCCGTCACTGTGATTCCCTCCTGCCCTCTGTGCTGTGTCCAAGCTCCTTTCTCCCCACCTAGTTTTGTTCAAGTGAGAACTCAGCCTTGCCCTCTCCTCATCCTCCCCTCATCTGGTGCTGCTGCCCCACGATGCCTCCCCTGGTAAATGCTCTGTTCTCTGAGCTCTCCATCCTGCACCTCCTAGATGCTCCTTGATTGGGGTCCACCATTATGGGCGCTTCTCTCTGCGGGTGGGTCCTGACCTTACAGGTCCAAGTTTAGGAAGGAGCTTAGTAAATATTCGGCTACCCTCGTGAAGAGTGGAGACACTGACTTTGTAAGAAGGAAGCTTCTCTCCATTTATAAGAAACAAAAGTGGATTTTTAAAAAAAGATTTATTTTAGAGCCTAGACATCAACTGGGTCTACTAGAAGCCTGAAAACTATCTAAGGTTGTAATCCTTAAACTTGAGATGAACGCATCATGTTAGAGTCAGGGTCTTTTGAAATTATATGATAGATTTAACTCATATAGTAGATTATACATAATCCACTACACATAAAAAGCCTTCCCGTCATCCCACTGATGTTTATGACAACAGGTGGAACATTTATTTGGTACAGTTCACTTCAGCCTCTGTCTGGGAGTACCTCCCGCTCTGACGTCCTCAACCCTGTTTCTAGGACTAAATATGCTGCAGAGTGGCTTGCATAAGCAGCACATGAAGGACCTCTTTGTGGAGCTGTGCCTCACGGTACCAGTACGGCTGAGCTCGCTTTTGCCCTATCTGCCCATGTTAATGGACCCCTTGGTGTCTGCGCTCAATGGGTCTCAGACGCTGGTTAGCCAAGGCCTGAGGACGCTAGAGTTGTGTGTGGATAACCTGCAGCCCGATTTCCTCTATGACCACATCCAGCCAGTGCGTGCAGAGCTCATGCAGGTATGTGTGCTTGCTGACCTAGCTCTTGCTAAGGATTTTAGGCCAGCAGTTTCTGGAAGTGATGGGCCATCTCTGCAGGATGGAATGGTGCAGCTTCCACCTTAACTTTTGTGGGTTTTCTGGTCTATGAAAAGATGTAAAATACTGTGAGCATTGAGTAGATTTTTGTTTTGTATCATTGCCCCCTCTTTCAGAGGCAGCTACAAGTGTCACATGCTCATTAAGATGAGGACTTGGGGAGGCAGGTGTTATGGTTATTGTATGGCTAGTGTTGCTTCCAGGGAGATCCTTTCTTTATACATAAAAGATCTTGAGTAAAATAGTAAGAGATCACAGTCCTAAGGGAAGGTGTGGGTGTCCCATCCACCCTAAGGGAAATGGAACACATAATGAAGGAAGTTGTTTTGAAAACATTTTGTATTTCTCTTCATTCGAGCTCTTATGTCAAAACCAGGTTTTCCATGTTTTGCTCTGGTTACTGACTTGTACTGTGATCTATAATTGTTAAGTGGTTTAGGTTGCCTGCTTTAGTGTGGAGTATTTGACCTCAGGTAGGGTCTGGATGCCAGCTTTCTGTGATGGAGACTCAGTAACCCCCAAAGTACAGGGGTCTATGGGCAGATGAGATTGGAGACTGCAGCTCAGACTTGAGGCTGAGGTTGTGAGCTTTGCCTATCAGTCCTGAAATGTAGGCCTTAGGCTCCATCTAGGCAGGAGGAGCTTGGCTCAGGGCCTCCAGCCCACTCTGTCGGCCAGTCATTTGGAGGACAGATGGCGAGCCTGCCACAAGAAGAGCACCACTGATTCTGGAAAGGCAGAACCCCGGGCCTGACACAGGAGTGGCAAGCTCCCTGCGGAGTGGCAGGCTGGCCTTTGGGTCACTGGCCATTCTGTGAGGCACACAGCCCCAGTGAGGGGTTGGGTGAGGCTGCTTCCTGCTCTTGGAGGCGCAGTAGCTGCCTCCACCAGATGGCAGCCCAGCCTGTCTCTCCCTGGCCCAGCAGCTGCCAGTCCAGGAGTGGGCATTGGGAGGCTGGAGGCTGGGAGTTAGGCAGAGGTTCTGTCTTCTGAGGACACAGGACGACAGGGTGGGCTGAGTGGAGGGGGCAGAGGTGAGGGGCTTGGCCTGCATCTTTCAGCAGTCAGTAAGGACAAGCCTCTTTGGACCTACCCAAATGAAAGAGAAATTGGTATTCTGCTTTAAAGAAAAGTTCCAAGATTTTATGTCGACTATTGCTAGTTACTAATATCTGGCATTGTTACAGGAGGTGACTTAAGAAAATGGACTCACATAGTCCGCTGTAGTAATTTTCAAGACTTAATGATAATTTAGGTGAAAGAATGTAGGAAAATTGACAGTGTTTTGAAGCAGGTGAGTGTGTGTTGCTTGCTGACCTTGAGCATGAGGGACACGTCGACTCACTGCCATCACACAGGTCCCTTTATAAGTCCATGTTTCCCTTTTCACTGTCCTGTCTCATGTGAGATCTGAAATGTATAAGGCGATTCATATAGCATGTCTGTAAGTTATAAAGCCCAATGATAGAAGAAAAACTTAAGAACTCACCATCAAATCCAAGGAGGAGAACTTTACCAGCAAATTGCATTTCCCTCTATGCTCTTCTGGATCCCATTTTGTATATATGCTTAAACAATATATAGCTTAGTTTTCTTGTTCTTTGAGCACTCTTATTTATTATATGCTACCATTTGTATTTCAGGAACATGAAAGAATGTTTGTATTTATTTATATATGCATTTTCTTTAAAGACAAGATTTTTTGGTAGGATATACAAAACTAATAACATTGGTCTCTCTCAGGAAGGGTAACCATATGGGGGACAGAGGTGAAAGAGTTTTCACTATAGAGACTTTTACAACCTTTGAATTTTGATTTGTGAACTGTGCGAATGCATTTCCTTGAAAGAATTTTAATGAACACGTTGATTTGTAGGCTTTATGGCGCACTTTGCGCAATCCTGCTGATAGCATTTCTCACGTGGCCTATCGTGTACTTGGTAAATTCGGTGGCAGTAACAGGAAGATGCTAAAGGAGTCCCAGAAGCTGCACTATGTCGTGACTGAAGTCCAAGGCCCCAGTATTACAGTGGAGTTTTCTGACTGTAAGGCATCTCTTCAGCTCCCAATGGAGAAGGTAAATTTGGAAGTCTGTGGGAGCTTTTCAAAGATACTACAGTTTTCATTTTCAAAGAATTAATTTCTACTTGAAAATATGTAAATAAAATGGACTTTTTGGGAGGGAATTTCTGACTCAAAGTAGACAGTATTTATTTGGGAACCGGCTGGGTTGGCAGAGGGGCCTTTTATGGCATGGAGAGGCCACTGGAGGGGTGTTGCCCCTGAGCACTTTGGACCCTTGATCAGTTCCTCTTTCCTAAGAGACCAGGAAGTGATGCCCAGCCCACCCTTGAACTTAGTCAGTTTTGGCGTCTGACAGGCTTAGCCTCCAGTGTCATGTGGAACCCAAGTTCCTGCCATTCCTGTCAGTCATGGCCGGCACTCCCAAGAACCTGCTCTTCTCCCACCCCCTGTCCAGGTGTAGTACCTGCTGTCTCCCTGGCTCCTGAGCCCACTGTGGCCTCTCTCTCTCCAACCTCTTAAAACCTCTGTTTCATGGTGTAAAAAAAAAAGTTTTCCCGGCATCTCGCCAGGGTGCCCCACTCTCCTGTGTTTGCGTCGCCCTTTCTGAAAACCGTTCCCCAGCCCTTTGTCACAGGCATCTTGTTTTACTTAGTTTTATCTACATTGTCCTCCTCAGCGTTTCCCTCATTATGTACTTGTGTTACAGCTTTTGTTACCATGTCTCTCAAAGCATTTATCTAGCTGTTATAGATGTGGTGTTTTTTAAAGGATGTTGTAGCAGCCTTTTGCATGTGCGTGAGTGGCTCAGTCCTCTTGGTGCCCGGATGCTGACTGGGACTCCTGAGTGCTTTGTAGCTCTGGTCTTAAGCCAGCATTCTAGGCCTGGAATGACTCAGTCCTCTCTTTGCTTGGGAATAAATAACTGTCCTGTCCTGTTGCATCATGTTGTAGGGCTCTGCCTGTTTACCTTTCTATATAGGGAGTTTACCCACAGATAGTAAGTTCTGTGATTTTTGTTTTGTCTTGTTTTTTAATCACACTTTACTCAGCATTTGGGAGGAAGTGCACCCGCCACAGGTAAGTGTTACTCTGGAGTTTCCTATCGTCATTTCTCAGCCAACTTGCCCCCTCACTTCCTCAAGCACATGTGCTGTCCCTGACCCTCCCTGAACCCCTGCCCCAGGGATTGGTGTCCTCTCCAAACCTCAGGGCTGAGCTGCAGTCTTGGCTTCTCACCAAACCATTAGCAAAATATTTGCCAAATAAACACTCCCTGAATCCTAAGAGAATATTGACAACAGTAAATCTCCATCTTTACATTGAAAATTACTAAAGTAAACATCTTGTATCTATTGCACATTCCCACATTTTAGGTAATATCCTTAATTTAGGATTCTGTTAGCTTTAGCCTGTCAGTCACAAGGTTGGTGTTAGTAGTGAAAACTAAGGTGTATGACTTATCTGACCTCTGCATAGACTAAACAGAGCAAAAAATCTTTGAAGTGGTTTTTCCCAAATGCAGTTAACGCATGCAAGAAACTGAGTTTTGAAGACGAGCCAGTAGTCCTCCTGAACTTTCACAGAGACTTCCCAGTGCTTGTGGAGCTCCTACCCCAGCAAGCGGCATCCTGAAGGCTGTGGCATAGCCTGTAGAGCCGAGGGAGCCAATTAGGTGAAGGGAATCATCTGGACCAAACTGCATGCCAGGGGATTGCTGTTAAAACAGTCCTGCTTTTGGCACACTTTACAACCCTGTATTCTTTTTTGGCAGGCAGTTGGCTCACAGGTTACATTGATTCTTAAAAATAACCCCTCTGGAGTTACCCTCACATGAATTATTACCTATTACTGACCAGATCAGAGGCCGTAGGAGTTAGGGCAGCTCTACAGGGCCCCAGAAGAGGTGGGGGTGCAGCTGGGGGTGCTGACGTGGGGAACTGGGGTCACGCTGTGTGGCCGTGTGCTCTGTCGGCTGGCTAGGTCTGGAGGGCAGGGCCTCGGTCCCTGTCGGCCCTTCTGGTTCCTCACACAGAGCCTGGATACATCTTTAATCTTTAACAGAATAGTTCTTTGATTTATTGGTATATTATTATCACTAGGGCTAATTAATACCTTAGCTACTGAAGGCTTAGGTTATTTGTGTGTGTCTGTGTGATAGTGCCTCCACCACATTCCTGGCCTACCTAAGTGAAGAGGATAAAATGGATGTGTAGTTATGTAGATTTTCTGAAAAAATAAAGGAAATCCTTTTATCTTTCAAAGAGAATTTAGTAAAAGTTTGGGAAAGCCATCTTTTAGTTTTGAACTTAGACACAGGAAAGCCTGTGGTCTGCAACAAGTTCATTATTCACACAGGGACCTTGATAGGTTTGTGTAGATGACTCAGAATCCAGCTTAACCCAGGCCTTCTGAGCTCACATAATTTTTGGGGTCTCTTACTTGCTATGTAAGCTTGGAATTAGTAAACTCATTTTACATTTTAATTCAAACTACTCAGTTCCTTATTTCATAACACTGAGATTTTGTTGCCTTTCTAGAGCTGTTGTCTGGTAAATACCTCAGCCTGCATAGGCCCACTGTGTCTTCTTCAAAAGAAAATATGCATAAAGATTTTTCTGGGTGCTGCAGATGCCTTCAGTGAAAACCTTTCAAAATCATGTAGTTTCAGCACTAATGATAGATTTTGTGTTTCTTTGCCATAGGCCATTGAAACTGCTCTGGACTGCCTGAAAAGTGCCAACACTGAGCCCTACTATCGGAGGCAGGCATGGGAAGTGATCAAATGCTTCCTTGTGGCAATGATGAGTCTAGAGGACAATAAACATGCGCTCTACCAGCTCCTTGCACACCCTAAGTAAGTTGGTTATTTAATTTAATTCTCTGTGAGGGGATGTATATTACTTTAGGACTTAGGGGTGGACAGGACCTCTCAGATTTCTTAGTGTTACAAGCACGTTCCTTCAAGTCAGAAAAATGACATGCTGCTTGCCTAGTAATGCTTCTCTTGGCTTTTACAGCGAGTGGAAAGGGGAACTTGAGTGCTTGGGAATTGGAACTTCTCTCAGTTGTAACACACCCTTTATCATTGCCTCCTCCGTCGGGCTTTCAGCTTCAAAAACCAAGGGCTGTGTCCTTCTCTCTCCTTTCTGCTCAGCATTATATCCACAGCTCTAATACGTGATAGGCATTCAGCGGATCTGCTGCTTCTCTAGTCCAGGGTGATCCTTTCATTCCCCAAATATCTGTCATTTGACATTTGTATTTTGCTCTTACCACTTAATGGCTGTGACCAGGGAATAGATTTTTTTCCTTTACATTTTCACATTTCTCATAGCATCAGAAATAATGCTGAGTATATAGTAGGTGCTCAGTTGTTAAAAAGGCATTGGAAAGAGCAAAAATAACCATGTATAGAGGGAAATGGGACAACATGAGTAAGAGCCTACAGAATCAGCAGAAAACAGAAATAGATGTACACAGACTTTAGATGTTAGGATCATCAGAGCTAGGTTGTAACTATGCTTACAATGTTTAAAATAAATAAAAGGCAAACTGGAAAATACTCCAAAAAGTCCAAACCTATAAAGAGTACCCAAACAGATTTGAAAAAGCACAAAGAGATGAGGCCAAAGAAATGATCCAGAATGCATAGAGAAAGAGATAAGATGGGAAATTTGAGAACAGGAGACATGAATAGGAAGTAGCATCGTTTCCTGGAAGTCCCACCAGGAGAGGGGAGAGAAAAGGACGTAGAGCTAACACTTGGCATAATGGCCAAGAATTTCCCAAACTGATGAAAAAATTAAAAGCCAGTAGTGCACAGATTCAAGATGGTTGGTGAAACCAAAGCAGGATAAATAAAAAGTCTACACATAGACACATTGTATTGAAAGAGCTACAAATCAGAAATAGAGAAAATCTTAAAAATTGACAGAACAGAAAGATAGGTTTCCCTCAGATGAATGATAGATTGGCAGCTCTGAAAGCCACTGGACAGCAGAGTCAGCCTTCAGTCCGAGAGGAAATAACTGCCAACCTGGAATCATGTCCCAGGGAAAATATGATTCAGGGTGAAGGTGAAAGAGGATGTATGTCTTTAAGTAAAACAGAAGTCTCCCGCCAGCAGGTCTTCATGCAGGCATGAAAGTTCCCCAGTGGAAGATTTGAGATGGAAAAGGAATACAGTGTGGGGTCAGATGTAGGTGAGGTAGGGCTAGAGTGATACTGAGAGGCAAACTTACAGCCTTAGAAGTGTCACAGCAGCCTGGAAACAAGGCAGATGTCCACCAGCGGTACGTAGGTAAACTGCATGGATACGATGACATCCTGCTCAGCAGGAAAGGGAACGAGCACTGATGAGCTGCAGTGTGGACAAATCATCCCAGCACTGTGCTGGGCAAAAGGCCAAACCCAGGACTGTGCACTATGTTGTTCTGTCGATGTGATGTTTCTAAAAAAAGTCAGAACTACAGAGACAGAAAGTAGATCAGTGCTTGCCTGGGGGTGGGGGTAGGGATTACCTTCTCAGGGTGACGTGTTAAATCGCACTATGGTGATGGCTGCACATCTGTATAACCCAGCTGAAACTTGCTGAGCTCGTGAGCACGTAGTTTACACCTGCATGAGGCTGTGAAAAAGCAAGAGAGAAAAGAGGTTGAAGATGGGGCTAAATTCTGTTTTAAAAGTCAGAAAACATACAACTAAGTAAGCAAAAAGGACAAGAAGAATAAACAAAACAGGAAAACAAATGTGTAATAGAATGGCTTGAGTCCAAAAGTTGATCCTTGAAAGGGTAATAAAATGGGAAAGCCTCTGGCAGGACTCCCTCAGAGGAAAGACATGGAGGCAGAAATACCCAGTTTCAGAAACAAAAAATGCAGTGGCCATTACAGATGTGTCAGACATTGGAAAAAAAAGCAGTTTTGAGCAACTACTTTGGCAATAAATTTAAAAATTTCAATGAAATAGATAACTTCATAGAAAAGTAGACTAGTTATTTGGCCTTTCTTTGTCTTTTATGACATAGATATTTTTGAGGAATACAGACCAGTTATTTTGCAGAATATCCCTAGTGTGGTTTGCCCGTGTCATCATGATTAGATTCAGACTGCTTGTCTGAAAGAAACCCCATGCAGGTGTTCTTCCCCCCAGTCACACCAGCAATTGGTGTTGGCTCATCTCTATGGTGAGAGAGTGTCTGTCCTGTCTCGACCATCAGGTTATTATTTTGCTCCTTGTAATAACAGATGTTGGTGGAGAGGAAGGTTGAGACTGTATGAATGGTCCTGTCTCTCATCACACTTCATCTCCTGGTTATAGTAGTCACTCATGAGTCTCTCTGATACGAGTGCTGGTATGACAATTACAGAATGGTGGTTTTCTTTCTTCTTAACTTCATTGAAGTGTACTTTACATATCCAGAATTCATCCACTTCAATTCCAGATTTTTAGTACCCTGTAGAGTGTAGCAAATGTAAATCAGATTTAGACCATTTTCATCCCCCAAATCAAATCCCTCAATGTCCACTTACAGTTAATCCCCATTCCCCTTCCCAGGCAACCATTAATCTATTTCTGTTTCTATAAATCTGCCCTTTCTGGACATTTCATAAAAACAGAACCATGCGATATGTGGTCTCTTGTGTCTGGCTTTTTTCCTGTAGCATTAATACTTTTGAGCTCATCCACAATGTATAGTCAGCAATCTGCTCCTTTTCATTGTTGCATAGTACTCCACTGTAGGGATTTTTTTTTTTTTCTTTTCATGGAGATTTCCTATTTCCAGTTTCCCTTTTTTAGTAAAGGAGAACATTTCCCCCTTCTTTAATAATGTGTGTATAGCAGGTAGACCGATGGATTCTTATGTTAGTAGATGACAGCCGATTATGATTTTGATCAAATTGTGCAGACCTAGCAAGCTTCAGGAGAGCCGCTCCACGGGCGGCTGTATCCCCTTGGCACAGCCCCATCAGTGTGGAGCACTTCCATTCTAGCTCAGCAGGGTGTTTCTGACTCCCCTGTGCCTTCTCTGTCCAGTCTCAGAATTGCCATTCCCCCTTGAAGGAAGGAAGGGCTCGTTGGAGAAATGCTCATTGCCAGTGGGGTGCATTGTTTCTAAGCCTTTCAGCTGAATTTTTTGATACATAAAAGTTCATGATTTTACTGTGGTCAGATTGATAGGTCTTTCCTTTTGCATAGTGCTTTCTTCATCATTCATAAGAAATCATTTCCTACATCCTAGCCATGAAGCTACTCTTGTATTCTCTTCTGAAAGCTGTGTAGCTCTGTCCTTCATATTTCAGTCTTCAGGCTCTCAAACTGATTTTTGTGGACAGTGTGGAGTGGGGGTCTGTTTGATTTTTGCCTTCTGGATATCCAGTATGCGTTTGTTATACAGACTGTCCTTTCTCCATCTCCCTCTGTTGACACTGCTGTAGTAGATTGAGTACCTTCTAGTACCAAGTACTGTCCAAGGTTTGCGTACAGGGACTGCATGCTAGCTTCCAGGAAACATGATTCTGGTGGCCGAGACAGACAGCAAGCACGAAAAAAGAAACCCAACGGGCAGAGCCAGAGCCTAGTGATACTGGAGTGGTCCGTGGGGAGGGCAGGGCTGTGTGGGGCTTCAGGAGGTCACAGGGAGGGCTGGGGTTCTGAGTGTCCCAGGAAGTGGATGAAAGGATCTAACTCTAGCTGACTGCAGTTTTCTTGGCTTAAGCCAAAGGTGCCACTGACAGGGTGTCAGGAACACTGGGGAAGAGCAGATTGCAGGAACAGGAGGACTGAGATGTCTGTTCTAGGCACTGCGATGCCAGTAGTATGTTAAAGAGTATGATCAGGACTGACAGAGAGCAGAGAAGGCATTCAGGTGTGGAGAGGGAATGTGACCACGCTTTCTCTGCTTGAAGATGTTGATGTATAAATGAAGGGTCTGATATATTTTCTTAGCTCCAGAGGCAGAACCAGATAGAGTGGGTAAAAATTAGAGGCAGAGTTGTTGTCATAGAAAGAAATTTCTATAAACTGGAGCTGTTCAAGGTTGAAAGAACCTAATAGTGTAAAACATATTGCTGACTATTGAGAGAGGAGGAGCCAAGATGGCGGCATGGAAAATACTCCAAAAAGTCCAAACCTATAAAGAGTACCCAAACAGATTTGAAAAAGCACAAAGAGATGAGGCCAAAGAAATGATCCAGAATGCATAGAGAAAGAGATAAGATGGGAAATTTGAGAACAGGAGACATGAATAGGAAGTAGCATCGTTTGCTGGAAGTCCCACCAGGAGAGGGGAGAGAAAAGGACGTAGAGCTAACACTTGGCATAATGGCCAAGAATTTCCCAAACTGATGAAAAAATTAAAAGCCAGTAGTGCACAGATTCAAGATGGTTGGTGAAACCAAAGCAGGATAAATAAAAAGTCTACACATAGACACATTGTATTGAAAGAGCTACAAATCAGAAATAGAGAAAATCTTAAAAATTGACAGAACAGAAAGATAGGTTTCCCTCAGATGAATGATAGATTGGCAGCTCTGAAAGCCACTGGACAGCAGAGTCAGCCTTCAGTCCGAGAGGAAATAACTGCCAACCTGGAATCATGTCCCAGGGAAAATATGATTCAGGGTGAAGGTGAAAGAGGATGTATGTCTTTAAGTAAAACAGAAGTCTCCCGCCAGCAGGTCTTCATGCAGGCATGAAAGTTCCCCAGTGGAAGATTTGAGATGGAAAAGGAATACAGTGTGGGGTCAGATGTAGGTGAGGTAGGGCTAGAGTGATACTGAGAGGCAAACTTACAGCCTTAGAAGTGTCACAGCAGCCTGGAAACAAGGCAGATGTCCACCAGCGGTACGTAGG